ACACTTAGGCACTTGCTCTCTCTCATTCACATACACCACACACACAATTCAAGATTCTCCTCTCTCTGAAGCCCTTCCCCACTTATCCCCTGGCCTGGAGGACAAGAAAATATTTCTTCTTCTTCTTCTTCTTCTTCTTCTTTTTCTTCTTTTTTGCCAGCTTCCCTTCCCTTCCCTTCCCTGCCCACCCATCCCTCCCCCTTAAATAATGCTCAATAGCATTCATACTCAGGTATTTAATAAGCAACTCTGAGTCCCCTCTAAACAAATTGACACCTTGCCCCCCAGTTCCCACCCACCCCTTCTCCCAAATCCAGGCCTCTGGCTCCATGCACGCTGGTTAGTGGTCTTGACCCCAAAATATAGTCTGTGGGTTGATTTTACCGTATCCTGGTGAAGAGGTTAAGAACTGAAACAGACTCCTAGGATTGAAGAGACAGAAAGGAACTATTAACATCATATTTATTAGAATGTTGTAACAGAAAATCTCTGAGTGGACTGTAATATTACCTGCAATGTAAACTTATTTTAACGCTAAGAAAAGCAGTAAAATAAAATGAAATAAAGAGCATGGGAAATATCACACATACACACGTACCACAGTGTAAAGGAGGCACTTAAAATCAAGTTGAAAAAAAAAACTATACAAATGCCTAGGAGCATTTCTGCCACAGGTGGTCCTCATCTAATCGCCACTCATTCAGTGACCATTCAAACTTATGACAGTGCTGAACTAGTGGTAGTTACAACTGGTCCTTGTACTCATGGCTATTGCAGCATCCCTGAGGTCATGTGACTTTGATTTGTGACCTTCCCTACTGGCTTCCCACAAGCAAAGTCAATGGGGGAGCCAGCAGGAAGTTGCAAGCTGTGGTCATGTAAGGTCCTCGCTTAATGACCCACGTGGTCCTCACTTAACAAAGGATGGCAATTGGGACTGCTGGAACTGCTATTACTAAGTGGCGTGGCCATGTGATTTTTTAACTAACAACTGTGTTGCTTAATGATAGAGTTTCCAGTCCCAATCAGCATCATTAAGTGAGGACCACCTGTATTCCCATCAGCTACTATTGTAGGTTCTTTCATGCAGGCACAAAGACCTGTAACACAACAAAAATATCCCTCCTAATCCAGAACAATCCAGCACTGAATTTCTAACACTAGCATCTGGAAGTCTCCAAGAAGCCAGCAAGCAGGGTGTGGAAAAATCAGCCATTCTCTGTCACCAGTCCTAAATTCTAGTAACCAGAGGTATCCTGAATTTGAACCTGAAGCCTCTATCAAGGCATCAGGACTAATAGTAATAGTACCCCTTCCTAGCCTGTTCCACTAGGTCTGAAAGGGTGGGCATGCTCCAGGTCCCTTTCCTTAAATGTTGCCATCTAGTGGGAGCTTGGCAGCACGTCTTCTCAGTAGTGGCCCCTGCCCTTTTGGAACACCCTCCCAGGCCCCTACCCTCATAGCTTTCTGAAAAGCCTTGTAGATTGGCTTTTCCCACAAGCATTGGAGCAGTGTGAGGCTGGAACCCAGTAAAGTTCTTTATGGATGTGTGGGAATATGTTGTGTTTCAGGGCACTGGGAGTTTCAACAGGTAATTGACTGCTCTGTTGAAACTCCCATTCATCTATTAAACCCTTTAATACTACATACTTTGACAGTAAAATCAACTGTTTTTAAACAGAAAAAGAGCTGTGCTGGATCATACAGAACACCTCATTCTATGCATTCTCTCCTTGAGGACCAGCTATATGCCTATGAGAAGTCCATAAGCAGTATGTGGTGCAACAGCACCTTTCTGATAGAAGCACCATGACATTAAGGATAACATTCTCCAATACAATCCACCCACTGTTCTTCCTGGAAAAGAAGTATGCTTTCTTTACAGCCCACTTTTTAAAAAGTGCTCATTCTTCTAAGACAGCCTTCAAGTATATGCAAAATACAACAGCAATGAACCCCTTATTCTAACTTCTGTACTGGTACAACATTGGAATGAGAATGGATTCATAAACCCACAGAAGCACATGTTTAGCCACTTAGATTCAACATTTTTAAGACAAACTGCAGCTCAGTTTGAGACTGAAACTTTGTCTCCATCAAAATCAGGAAAGACAGTTCTAGAACAGTCCTCAGATTGCTAATATGTAATGAACATACTAGGAGTTTAGAAGAACAAGTAGATTTCTTATTGAGTCTCGTCCCATCTTGCACCACTGGAACTCAGCATTTATTTTGAAGATGATTGCTCAAATACATGAAAAAAACATACGATTTTACCTTTGTAGAGCGAGTTTTGCTGAAGACATTCCAAAACCTCAAAGTCTCATCCCCTGCTCCAGTCACAATGGCTTCTCCATCTGGTGACATTGCCTATAAAAGGAAAGGAAGTGAATTTCTTGCCAGAGATGGACCCACCCACACAGCATTACTGTCTACCTTTTTCACCATAGGCCATAGAGAGCTAGGGGAAATTATTATTATTATTATTAATTTGATTTGTATGGCCACCCATCTCATCTTTGCGACTCTGGGCAGCTCACAACAAGTAAAAACAATCCAATAAAAACAAGTTAAAAATCAATATATGAACATATAAAAACTATCCATAATCAATTTAAAAAACAGAAAATCAGCAGCAGCAGCAGCAGAATTCATTCTACATCAGCTCAACACAGCCACTGTAAGAGCTTCCCACCACTGCTGGACCCTCAGGCACAGTGGCAGAGCCATGTCTTCAGGGCCTTTCTAAAGGCCAGGATGGTCGGGTTCAATCTAAGGTTGGGGGGATGATGTTCCACAGGGTGGCCGCTATGACAGAAAAGGCTCTCTTCCTTGGTCCCTCCAGATGACACTCATTCATAGATGGGACTCATAACATGCCTCTCCTGCCAGTCCTGATGGGGTGGGTAGATGTAAATGGGGAGAGGCGGTCCCTCAAATAACCTGGCCCCATCTTATATACAGCTTTGTATGTCACAATCAGCACCTTGAATTGAACCTGGAAGCATACTGACAACCAATGCAGCTCGCGGAGCAAAAGTGTAATGTGCACTGATCAAGTTCACATAACTGCTCACGGTGCCACATTCTGTACCAGCTGCAGCTTTCAGATGCTCTTCAAAGGCAGCCCCATGTAAAGTACATTGCAGTAATCCATTCGACAGGTGACAAGGGAATGAGCAACTGTGAGCAGAGCCTCCTGGTCTAGGAACAGGCGCAACTGGCACACAACATGGAGCCCTCCTGGCCATGGCTGCCACCTGCTTTTCAAGCAGGAGCCATGAGTGCAGAAGACCCCCAAGATTGCACAATGGGTCTGTTTGGGGCAGTGCCACCCCATCCGGAACCAAAGGTAGTAAGTCCCTGGAACTAAGCAGTCCCCAAAATCCAAAGCCACTCAGTCTTGCTAGAGTTGAGCCGAAGCTTATTGTTCCCATCCAGACTCTACAGACTCCAGACACCAGGACAGGACCCCAACAGCATTGCTTAATTTGCCAAGGGTGGAGATATACACCTGGGTATCATAAACATTCTGATGATATGTCACCCATGGCAACGGATGACCTCACCCAGCATCTTCGGGTAGATGTTAAACGGGAGCGGAGAGAGTATCAAACCCTGCAGAACCCCACAAAGCAGGGGCCGAGGGCAGGACCTCTCGCTCCTGAACAGACTGGAATTGACCCCAGAGGAAGGAGGAGAACCAGCACAAAACAGTGCCACCCAGCCACAACTCCCGCAAACAGTCCAGAAGGGTACCACAGTTGATGGTATCAAAGGCTGCTGAGAGGTCAAAAAGAGCAAGGATGGATGCACTACCCCCATACTCACCAAGTAAAGGACTCTGTAGGAATGCCCAGTTAGCTTTGCAACCTGAGTCAAGGATGGGTACTTCCAGACGAGGATCTGGTTCTGTGAGTATCCATGAGTGCTCACCTATAGAGAGAACACCCTTCGGGTCATAGCTACGAACAAAAAAGCAAGCACAAAGGCTGAGGTAGGGCTCCCAATTATAATTTGGCCCTTGAGGGTGTTGGTGGTGGTCTCTTAGGTTTTCCATAGAAGTCCTTGTCAGTCAGGGTTCTTAAGAACTATGAACTGACTCAGCCCAGAAATTATTTGCTCTGTTTCATGATGGGAGAGGGATCAAGAGACAGAAAACATTCCTTACAGGTTGCTGTAAGGAAAAGGTTGTACAAGCGGAAACTCTGAGGACCCAAAATGAAAGCAGAAAAACAGTAATTTTATTCAATTCCATTTTTAGCTCAGAATCCCTCCAATGAGGTTATGTCACTTCTCCCATACACTGATACATTCTTCACAACAGCTTTGCAAGGTAGGTTGGAATGAATGTAAACAAGCCTTTATTAAAATGCACAAACTCTGCCTTAAACCCACTATCAACAGCCAAGGCCTCCTTCCCCTGCTTTTGAAAAGAGAAGAGCAGCCCTGCTGTTGCAGAGTGATTGCTATTCTAGCATCAAGTGTCTTCTGACTCAGCCATAGCTAAAGCCCACCTGAAGAGAATTACGCCTCAAAGTCTCCAAGTTCAACATGATGTTCATTGTATCACACTGAACTCTGCTAAAAAAAACAAAACAAAACAGTAGCCAAACTGGGAATCCTTCTGCTATAGCTCAACCAAGGAGGGTAGCCTATGTTGCTCTTTCCACACTGTCCAATGGTGCTTACCAGTTCGTTGGCATGCTTGGACCAAGCAAGGTTGCACACTTGTGACCCTGTGTCAATGCACTGCAAAGGCTGTCCAGTTAAGGTGTTCCAGAAACGTATACAGCGGTCAGCAGTCCCACCCCCTGAAGCCAATAGCCCATGCTGATGAGGGGACCAAGCAATAGCTTTGACTGCTGCGAGGTGCTCTGTATACTGCTGGACAGGGCTGAGGCTGGAATGGTTCCAGACAAGGAGCTGGAAAGAAAGGAGGTTCATGAATATCTTGCTATCAGAGCAGAGGGGCTCTGCTGATACTTGGAGGGAGAGGCCCAAAAGAGTTATTAACTTGCATTCTTTCCTCCAAGACTGTGTTTTTCACATTTGGAGGCAAGGGGAATAACAACTGGAAAAACAGACTTTCTTTCATTGCTCTGTTTTAATTACAGTAGTTCACTGTGTTCTAAACTGTATTTTTAAATTAAAAAATCGATACCATCAACAATAATCAAGGCAGCTTTAACTGGTTTGTGGATTTAACTGTTCTACTCAGTGCTCAGTATTAGAATAAGAACATACAGTGACATACATGGAATTAGGCCTCAGATTTGAGAGGGCTGTGCTATTACTAGACTTCATTAGACTGCATTTGATCTTTTCTATTCTGGCATTTTCATGTTTTTACATTTTCCATAGCTGGTTATTTGTTTTTATTATATTAAAACATATATGCTGCTTTGTACCCCTCAAAAGGGTCATCAAAGCCATATCCAACAGTAAAGATAGACTAGAAATGAACATTAAAAATTGCACATTATTTCAGAAAGGAATGGAAAAAGATGAAATCATCATCAGTGCCAACAGCCTACAGAAAACCATACTCTCATCAAGAGTTAAAGAAGGGGCCAGATGGATTTTCCTACTAATTACCAGCCATACTTCTGGTGGTGGTGAGCTATGGGGCAAGATCTCTCCCCACAGTCTCAGTAAGAGAACAGATGAGATTTAAAATCTTACATACTGTTTTGAGGGAACAGCTCTTTGTCATCTCAGATGCCTTGCCATAAACATACTGATTAGAAATATTTAGATTCAAAATAAACACAGCAAAACATTCTGGGTCAGGGCCAATCGCTATCGTGTGCTTCTGGGGCTCTCTTAGTTCAGGTTCCCAGCCTCTCCTCTCCTGCCACAGAGTATCACAGAAGTGCAGCAACTATAGATTGTGTATCCACAACCACTCTCGATCAGCAGAGGTTAAGGCAAGGCTAGTCACTGTACCTTGTTGTCATTCCCACCAGATGCCAGGAGCTGGTGATCTGTGGACCATTTCAGCCCACACACTTCCTGCCTATGGCCTTGAAGGCGCCGTTCGGACTGCAAGGGAGGAGTCCGGATGTCTCGCTGGAGGATCATCCGGTCTCGACTGCCAGAAGATAGCTGGTCTGCATTCCATGCAAGAGCACCTAGAACAGAGGAGTGTTTGTGAAGACCACGAAAAAACTGCACAGGTGGGAAAAGCAAGTCCTCTATTAGGAGAAGTATCACTAGAGCACCTCCTGCCACTGTTGGAGGAGCTCCTGTGAAATGTCATGCTCAGAGCCATCCTAATCACCAAGAAAACCAGCCATTTGTCAGAGGGAAGCAATGCCAGAAATTGGTGGAATCAATGCTATTTTTAAGATAAGAACTACATTTGGGTTTCATAAAACAATTGCCTTCCAGTGCAATACCCAGCATATGAAGCCAGATAGCTTTTCATCTTTAATAATGAAAGAAATCTGAAAAACGGAACTGCTCCGAGACTATGAAGGACTTGCAGTCTTGAAAGAAAACCGAATATCCCTGCTGCTAAAAGCCAAGAAGTGATTATATTTTGTATTTGTCACCTCTTCTGAAGCATCATTCAATAATGATTGCCTTGTTTATCCAGAAACAGACCTCAGGAAAAATTTTTTTCCAACTGCTGCTAGAGTGGCCCTTTTCCATGCTTATTCTTAGTGGTTCCCCACTTATTCACTGGCTGAATTTCTATCCACTGGATTCTATATAGCATTAGCTATTCACTCACAGAGGATAAAACCACAGATAACTATAGAGCACAATATATTATTTTCCTTTGCTAAAAAAATTATGTCCAGCTAAAATAACACAAAGTGATGAAAAATCTTCTGCTTCTTCCACATCTAGCCTGAAAGTGATCCTAATCCCTAATATTTTAACATATCCCCTAAAAAGTAAAGAATGCGTACCCTGTTTATCAAATTAAAAAGAAGCTTAACCACAATAAAAACAGCAACAGCCAGAACATGAGTCCTTCCACAGAAAACAGCTAAATACAAAGCCATTCAAATCCAGACCTCTGTGGAATAAAACCATTTTCACAGAAGCATCTGAAAATTAAGGGAGAATACATGGTAAGCACATCCAGAAACTTTGCAGCAACCAGAGATGTCCCATGTCAGGTTATAATATTTTAGCTTTCCAACAGAGCACGAAGCAGGGTTCCCAAAGATGATCTCAGCACATGGACAGGTTCCCAGACAGGTAGAAGATGGCTTCTGAAGCATTCACGTCCCAGATAATTTAACCTAGGACTATGGAAGACTGGGGCTATATCATCCACTGTAATGTCCTCACAACGACCAAGAGTTGTCTACAATGCTAAGTATAATGAGAATTCATTACTGAACAAGGAAAAATTAACATTCAAGATGGGATAGTATGTCCCAGGAGGCAGGTAGGCCCAAGCTGGCTCAGGATAACAATTCACAAATATCCTTCCTTGTAGTACTTCAGGACAACAGGCCACATCACTCAGCTTTCCTTACCCACTCTGGCCGTATGACCCTCCAACATTGAGAGCTTCTTTCCTGCTGCAGCATCCCAGATCTGTACAAAACCTTTGTGGGTCCCAACTGCCACCAAATTGCCCTAAACAGAAAAGGGGTATCAAACATGGATACAGTAACTATCACTGTACTGGGAGCCTCTGGAAAGCACTGCTCCAAATGCTGTCCCAGCTCTAAAGCAACTTTGAAGGATGCATTATCTCTCTCTTCTTATCAACTGAACACTTAAAACACTTGCTGCTACTTATTTTCGCAGGCATGTGCGTGCAGACTCACTTGCACAAAGTTTCTGCAGAACACTGAACTACATTTTTTATGGTATGGGGCTTTTTATGCTGTTGAAAAATAAGTACATATAGAATAACACATGGTATGCAAATATGTACTGTAGATAAGTATATGAAAGTAGTAATTTTGTATCAAAATGGGCAATTGCTGGATCACCTGATCTGGAATTGCCTAGTATGCTCTACTATGGCAGAGGCATCTCTGCAAAATTTCTGTAGTTCTACCAATTAATATCCTTTAACAGGAGATTTCAGGGATATAACCTAGAATCTTCCATCTACAAAGCACCACTGAGTTACAGCTCTGTTGGCAACACTGTTCATCAGGTTTAAACACTGGTGCACCTGTCTTGCTTTTGGCCATTCAGCTGGCAAGAACGCCTGCGTTTTCAGTCTACTGAAATATCAGTAGTATGTACTTTCAAGCATTCCCTGTTAACCATAAGCAGTTTTTTTTTTACTGTTTCAATTTAAGAAGGAATTTTAATTCTACAGCCTATTCACTATGTTATGCATTTTTCTTGGGCAAAACATAGCCCTGACCACATTCATGTTAGAAAAGGAGTTCTTCCCCCTCCTCATTATTATTATGATGGTTGGTCGCACAGTCAGCCAGATGTTTAGACTGGATGTGGCATTTTTATCCACCTACTAAGTCCTTCCCAAGGACCTGGGATAGGCAGATGTTGTTGTCTGATGGTGTTAAAGATATTGTTGCAGGATATAAGCTGTTCCAAGTAAAGCTGCCTTTTGCAATTGACTGATGGTGATTTTATCACTGCCAAACGTCTTCAAGTAGTGCTCCAGTTTTGAGATTGCACCTAGGGTGCCTATTATTATTGGTACTATCTTTGCTGCTGCTGTTGCTGCTGTTATTATTATTTTATCCCACCTTTTTAATATATATTTCAAAGCTGCGAACACACCTAATACTCCTGCCTCCTATTTTCACAACAACCCTGTGAGGTGGGTTGGACTTAGAGAGAGCAACTGGCCCAAAGTCACCCAGCCGGCTTTCATGCCTAAAGGAGGCCTAGACCGCGCAGTCTCCTGGCTTTTGAGCCAACACCTTAGCCACTACACCAATCGGCTCTCAATCCTGATCTCATGCCTGCAGTGACCGCATACTGACCCGTTCTGACCATCCTACAGAAGTCACCGAATCACCTTCCACAGATAGATCACACAGCCGCGTCACCTTGGGGAAAAAAAGTAAAAACAGGAATCAGAAAACTGTGAAGGCACTGAAAAAAAGGGCACTCATATACTTGTATTCAGATACCTCTCTCACACTTTTGGATTCAAGACACCAAGCAGTAACAAACTGATTAACAAAAATTTCAAGCCAGGATTTTCCAAACTCCTCATAGCTGAGATGTACTGTTTTCCAAATTTAAATGTGGAGCACACCCAGGGCAAGCTACTAGAGCAGAAACCCACAAAGCAACTCAAAAGAGAGACTTCTTCATGGGGAGAAATAATATTTTGACTCTCTATTGGGAGAGGTGTCCAAGGCAGGAATGTAAATTCTTGTCCCAAACAACACGCTTTACCTGGCTAGTGCAAGCACTCCAAAGATAGACACACGTCCCAAGACCAACACTAAGGACATTGAGGGATGACCAATCGACTAGGTTCAAGTAAAAATCATCCTGAAGTTCTGGAGCATCCAAAACTTTAAATGGAATCTTGGATATCTTCCTCGTGGGCTTTCGAGGTGATCGAAGTAGCTTTTGACTATTGAGAGGAGGAAGGAAAAAAGTTTAAGAAAGGCAGAGAAGGAGTACCCATTCTTCCACAGATATATCCTAGTTTGATGACACACTTCCTACAGATACACAAAAAAAAGATAAGGTAGTATCTTTAAAAATTTCAAGAGAATCAGGCTGTAGTACAATTTTCCAAAGTCATTTTTTAGATAGCATGGAGATTAAGACCACCAATGGCTATTAGTTATGAGTTACATTCTTTTGGCAGAACTGAAAATAGCATGCAAGTTGGGTGATGGTATTGCCCTTCTGCCCCACTTAGGGCTTTTTATATTTTAGGAAATGAATGCTAGACAATGTAACTTGTTTGATCCAGCACAGCTCTTCTTGTGTTCTGAAAAACATTTTCCAGGTTATATTCTTTTTCCCTAGGGAAGCAGTAATCTCCCCTTTGCTAGAGGTCAAGCAAAGGCTGGACATTCAAGTGCTGGGGATGCTTTAATTGGGAGTTGTATACCAAGCAAAGGTCTAGACCTAATGTCCTAAATTCCACATCACAATTTCCTCCCTGTTTATTCACACACCAACATTGTTAGTTAGCTGCAAGTAGCCAACTGTAGAGGGTTTCCCTGTAATATTCTTAGAAATAATATATTCATCAACTAACAATCCAGGAAGCAACATTACAAGGAACGGAGAAGACATATGGAAAGCCTGCCCACTCCAAATCCAACACAATTCGTGAGAGTTTCCCCTTTCCATTTCTAAGATCAGTGTGAGAGAAAAGCTCAACCATGAGGGAAGGTGATTCACAGCATATTTCAATGGGACAGTCTTTATCCTAATGCCCCCCCCCTCCGGTATTCTATCTCATTAGAGTAACCGGAACAAATTCCAATTCATCTTCCAGTTCCCAAATCACAACGTGATATTAGCTCCAGGGTTATTATCCTGCATGGATAACCACCACCCCACTTCAAATGGTAGCCAACCTTTTGTTGCTGACAGGGGAGAGGGAGTATGGAGAGACCTCGTTGCCATCATCAGGACTGGAACGTTTTGTGGTGAGGGAATACTACATTGACAAAGAGAAAACAATTATCCCCAAATTAGCAAACTAAGTTTTCCTCCAAGGGACAAGCCCCACCATTCAACCATCTTAGTTTCACAATCCATTCAGAGACTGACTTCACATACTGCAGTAAGCCACATGATTTGTTTAATTTTGGCTTAACAAGCTCTCCGAACCCCAGCCATTGTGATGTATTCAACAAGATACCTAGCTTAGTGCAATGCATGAATGAAGTTAGCCTTGCCTTCCTATCTGCCAAAGGCTTCCAGACTGTGTCCAGTTTAGTTTTCCCTTTATCCACAGCCTTCTTTCAACAGGCAACAAGATAAGGGACAGAGAGTGACTCAGAGTCTGCTCAAACCACATCCTTTTCAGCTGTAATTCAAAAAAACTAAAATAGCCTCATCAGAGTAGCTTACCATTGCTTGCTTTCATACAAGCAGCATTTTAGAAAGACAATATCCTTACATGGTTTTATGATCTGATTCCTTTTCAGTTTGTTTCAAGTTTTTTTTAGCATTACCCCAATGCTTTTTTATTGTATTTTAAAGTTCTTTTTTAAATTTTAGTGGGAGATCCAGGACAGGTAAGCACTACAGTGTACAGCTAAACAATGGAATTCACCATTACAAACTAGTAACAGCAACTCAGCAACTTTAAGGAGGGTTAGATATTAGGACTATGCAAAGAATTCAAAAGAATTGCTTTATAAACGTGTTAGGGCGTGTATCGCAACTCTATCCAAGGACAGCTATTTTATTCTGGCTAACATGCTTTGTGACATATCCCTTTTTAATGTTTTGCACACTTAAGACACAATGGAAATATCATCTCTGAATATTCATTTCTAAAAAGGTGGAAAAATATTACTGCACTAATAGGATTCCCATAACCATCAGATCAACATGAGGGGAACAGGAGGCTGAATTAGATACCACTTTGGTCTGATGGAGATGGCTTTGGTTTTTCTTATAAATTTGCATTTAAATCAATAGCTGCCCCACGACACCATGTGATCTAGCAATCATAAGTTCTCTGTTTTTAAGTAGTTAATGAAATATAATAGATCAAGTTTTTTTACCCATAATATCTTAATTGGAACTTCCAAACCCAGAAACAGTCTACATTTCAGCTATCAAATGGGCCACTTTACAAAACACGATGCTAGGCTAAACAGATCTCTGCTCTAATTGAATTTAACCCTTCCTATATGATTAATGCTTCTTGCTTTTTTTTATTGTAGGTCACACTTGACTATTTTACAAAAAGGCAAGATATAATTTTCAGAGGGGAAGAATACCGTGAAAAGGCTCTTCTTCTCAGGCGTGGAGGGCTGCAGCCTCCTGTCCTCAGTCTGTGGATCCTGCACTTTCTCAATCCCAGCTCCAAGGAGTTCATTTTTTAGCAAGGCAGAGTAGGCAAGGCCATCTGCACAAACAAAAATCTTTGTCAAAACTGGTTGGCCATTTAAAAAACAACAACAGATTAACTGGAAGCATGTGACAACATACAAAAAACAGGACATACAAAAATATATCTTTTTAATTTTTTTTTTTTAAAGATACTGGTAAACAGGAGATTGGAGACTAAATTTCAAAGTTAGCTAAATCTGTCTTATTGGCAAGGTTAATAAAATTAACAAAGAGCTAGTATATTATATTTAATTACAAAGATGAAAGATGAATAGAAGTAATATTGAGGTCTTATTAATATTAGTTAAAGGTTCTTCATTCTTCTTTAAACCTTATGTTAGTTTTGGCAAAAGCTTAAGACACTGCTTAACTTCTTCCACATGGTTATTATGTGGTGCTCTCCTCCAAGATGGCAACCTCTATATAGCAAACCAGATAATGGGGCACTGCAGCCTAGCACAAACCAGGCTACCAGAATCCCTTCAGAGGGTTTAAAGACATGCAAACCACAGGCAAGCGTTGGTCTCTACCTTTGCCATTGTCTGAAGTGGCATCTTTTGCTTTTCTATTTTGACTTGGAGATTTCTCATTTTCCTAAAAATCCAGATAAAATAATTAGCATGCATCCATTTTTAGAATTTCCAAATTTTTGGAAATTTTTTGCTTTCAGTCATCAGCTAAAATGAACTGTTGTAAGCTTTCTAAGCAGCCTCACTGCAGAAGATTCTGGGTCACATATCAGAGGTTCTACTTTGACCATTTGCCAAATTTGGCAGTGCTTACCCGTATTTCCCTAAATTAAGAACCTATTCCAGGAATCTATCACGTCTTCTTCAGTGCTTAGACACTGTAGGGGAATATTGACTTCAAGGAACATTATCTATTACAGCTGATTTTTTTGCCCAGAATTTCTAATATTTTTTAAAATCCCTAAGGTTTTCAAAACACCTCCTGAATGGCTATCTATTCACTCAGCTCGGGAGTTTGAAATTTTGCTTTGCAGCTCCACTCCTTATTACTCTCTGCTTTCAAAGGTTAAATAGGCTGTGTCAGGGAAGAGACTATTTACCTACTCTCAAATGGAAGATCAGCTGGCCCCCATCCCTTTTTCATTCAAACAAACTTTTTTATTTACAGTGTCTTTCAATACCCAACAAGCAATTCCTGCATGTATTGTTTTCCACTGATTTTGAAGCGTGACTTGCTGGCATATTTATCTTTGGAATATTTATAATCAATTATTAAGAAAAAAAATTACTGATTTATGTATGTAAACTGGATATTTTTAAATAACCCAATCTGCTTTCAAATAGTCACTAAGATGTCCTCAGCATTCTTAAGCCCAAAAAGCCTTGCATGGCAATTCCTGACATTCTAAACAGCTGGGGCAGAACACTGCTTCACAAATAAAAAATCCCCAAATTCGATCATCACCTCAATCTCCAGGTAAGTAGATCAAATGATCAGATTCCCTTCTTAAAAACCTGGGAGAGAACTGCCAGCCTGAGTAGACATGTTAGGCTGGATGACCTGATTCCTTATAATCTTGGTCATGATAGGCCTAGGCCATGTTATCAAAAAACATGTGATTGGAAGCTGTAGTCTAACTTCCAAGCACTGACCATGTTTTTTCAATGACATCAAATGTTTAACTGAAACAATGGCTGTAAAACATATTTTTAAACCAAAACATACAAACAGAATGACCAGCAGAATGGAAGAAAACATGTCAAACTTCTTGGGAACATCTGTCTATGCCTATGGAACATCTGGTAAGTCACCCCCAGCCCTCTAACACAACCAACCAACCAAATGGCCTTTCTGCAAAGCTCACATTTATTCTATGAAAGCTGATGCTCCAATTTGCTCCAGCTCGGGAAGGAATGAATCTGTCACCATGTTTACTAGGGGAGGAGACAGGTGAATTAGAAGGTGTCAAGGTTCTCCTCATATCTGCAACCTGGAATTTTGAAAGGGTGGGGGGAGGAAAGATCAGGAAACCCACAACAAAGATCAGTGACAAGACATGCATTAAAAATGAAATTCTGCAATTACAGAAAAATTGGATTCCAGAATCTGTATATATGATATGAGCTGAGTACCTTTGTACAACTTACCTCATTTTGCATTGTTGTGTTTATATATTTTTTAACACTTAATTCCAAATTAGGTTAATCTAGGACCACTAACAAATACAATGTCTTCCTGGGCAAAGATGTAACCTTATGCATACATACAGTGGGGCAAAAAAGTATTTAGTCAGCCACCAATTGTGCAAGTTCTCCCACTTAAAAAGATGAGAGAGGCCTGTAATTTTCATCATAGGTATACCTCAACTATGAGAGACAAAATG